AGATGCAGTTTAATGTATCAGTCCTATCTTGTTCTCTGCTTTGTTCCTGCCTGCTCTGACTGTTTGACTTGCTCCTTTTCCCACCTGTACCAGTTTCAGATTGATCTCTTTCCTCACTATCTTCCTGGGTACCCTCTCCCCAACCCCATCTTATGAGTTTAAATCCATCTGAGCAGCTCTAGCAAATGTCCTCACCAGTAAGTTCGTCCCCTTCCAATTCAGGTGCAATCTGTCCTTCTTATACAGGTCACGTCTACACCAGGAGAGATTCCAATGATCCAAAAATGTGAATCCTTCTCCCCTGCACCAGCTCCTCAGCCAGGCATTCATGGCATCGGGAGTAATCCGAATATTACTACCCTCAAGGACCTCCTTTTTAAATTCCTACCTAACTTCCTATATTCTCTCTGCAGAATGTTATCCTTTTCTCTTCCTATGTCATTAGTTGCAATGTGCCTTGAGTTTGTGGCTGTACAGGACATTAGATAGGCCACTGTTGGAATATTGCGTGCAATTCTGGTCTCCCTGCTGTAGGAAGGATGTTGTGAAACTTGAAAAGGTTCAGGAAAGATTTACAAGGATGTTGCCGGGGTTGGAGGGTTTGAGCTATAGGGAGAGGGTGAGTAGGCTGGGGCTATTTTGCCTGGAGTGTTGGAGGCTGAGGTCTGACCTTATAGAGGTTTATAAAATCATCAGGGGCATGGATAGGGTAAATAGATAAAGTCTTTTCCCCAGGGTGGAGTCCAAAACTAGATGACACAGGTTTAAGTGAGAGGGGAAAGATTTAAAAGGGACCAAAGGGGCAAATTTTTCACACAGAGGGTGGTGCATGTATGGATTGAGCTGCCAGAGGAAGTGGTGGAGGCTGGTACAATTACAGCATTTAAAAGGCATCTGGATGGGTATATGAACAGGAAGGGTTTAGAAGGATATGGGCCAAATGCTGGCAAATGGGACTAGGTTCATTTAGAATATCTGGTCAGCATGACGAGTTGGATTGAGGGGTCTGTTTCCGTACTGTACATCTCTATGACTCTATGTGTATGTACATAAGTAATTAAAGGTGGCAGGAGAGGTAGATAGAGTTGTTTTTTAAAAAAAGGATTACAGTATTCTAAGCTTCATAAATAAAAGCACAGAGTACAAGAGCAAGGAGATTATGCTAAATTGCTTTGTCAGACTGGTTAGACCTCAGCTCTGGAGTATTGTGTACAGTCCTGGGCATCAATCTATAAGAAGGATGTAAATGCATCAGAGACAATACAGAGGAAGTTTACAAGAATGGTTTCATGGATCAGAAATAAAGACTGTCCCAAATTGTGCAATGTATTTTCCTTGGAGAATGCTGAGAGGAGATTGAGAGACATTTTCAACATTGAAGGGGGTATCTGCATAGAGTAGACGGGAATCTAGCTCCATAACCGAAGGGTGGTAATAGAATCAAGAAGTCTGAACTAACAGAAAAGTTGGGCAGTCTCCTCCAGAAAGGGAAAGGCTCGTACTGATCAGACAGACATTTTTAAAATATTCATGGCTGTGATAGATAAATAAAAAATATTTCCAATTAAGGCAGCAGTCCAAAATTTATCAACACCATTGTGAGGTAGTTATTAATAAAGGCAAGAAAGGATTCAGGAGAAACTTGAGAAGAAGCTATATAAAGACAATCACATCGAATTCAAAGTGATTACATAATAATGACTACTGTGTTGTATGAACAGGTTGATGTCATATCTGTTAGGTCAAACAATTAGTTATTTTGCCCCTCCTGCTGATAGAGTTTGCTTTTTTTTATTGAAATGGACCCAACATACCAGAAAAAGAAACATTTATGGTTAAGTTTATAGTGGCATAGCAAACATGCTGTCTCTTTCTGACAATGAGCTTTGAACTATGAATGCAGTGGGTTATTTTTCAGGTATATACATGATGCAAAGAGATTTACTCATGATGAGCATAAATGTTCATGTGTTGCAAGCACACAGGCTATAAACTGGTTTGTAAAACTTCACGCACAGTGTAAAAAAAATGCAAGAAAATAACTGCTGAGAGAAATCAGCTGTCACGTTGTATGAATCTGTTTTTAATCAGTATTTATGGGCAGAAACTAGTGATGTGTGAATTGTAACATTCAGCACACACCGTTACAAGTGTTACTAGGTGTCTACATGCGATTGGGAGTGGTTTGCACGGTTTTCAATAGGTTATGTTATGGATCAGACCAGACCAGACCCTGTCAAAATTTACTAAGAAGACAGCCTAGACCCTAACTTTTTCCCATTTTAAAGGTAAGTGTAAGGTTCTGCATTCCAGGTGTAATTTGATTGGACAAACTACCAGATTTGAAGCAAAATACATGTTGTTCATACTCTCTAGTTAAAATACAACAAAAGAAAGAACTGATTTAGCTGTAACTCTATTGGAAAGCAAAACAGAATAATAGATTAGTGAGCTACTAAACAGTAACTGTTCCAATATAGTAACATCCGATAAAGACACCCTTGGCAAAAGGCAAATTAGATAACAGATTGTCTCACATGCAACTCCAGCAGCCCAGGAGGAAAATCATCAAAAGAACTCTGAAAGAGTGTAGAACGGGAGAGACGTACTGCAGATCTAGCAATAACTGCTACTGAAAAACTAAACAAGTAAAAATCCTGGTTCTCTGGAAACTTGACCACACCCATCCAGGCTGCTTCTATTGTTTCAACGTTTTTAAAAACAAAACCCAAAGTCGTTCAAGCTGTTTACTTTACGAGCTTTCAATAGACATATTGGTACCTCTGTCTAACAGGATAGAATAGATCTCTTAAAGCCATAGTATCATCACAGTCACCTGGGACAGTTTGGTGTCACTGAAGAGGAGTTTAAAGGACATAGTAGGAGAAAATGGAATATGGGAGAGAAACCAGAAAAGAACCATACTTCACATTAGAAGTTTTGCCATTTGTTATACTACTAGGTGGATTCTGTATCGGGGACTAGGTGAGGAATTAAGAATAGTTGAATAGCTCTGTGCTCAAAAACTCAGGACTGGGGGAGGCGATGGCCTAGTGGTATTCTAGCTGGACTGTTAATCCAGAGACCCAGATAATGTTCTGGGGACCCAGGTTCGAATCTCACCATGACTGACAGTGGAATTTGAATTCAATAAATATCTAGAATTAAGAGTCTAATGATAACCATCAATCCATTGTCAATTGTTGGAAAAACCCATTCACTAATATCCTTTAGGGAAGGAAACTGCCATCCTTACCTGGTGTGGCCTACATGTGACTCCAGACCCACAGCAATGTGGTTGACTCTTAACTGCCCTCTGGGTAATAAATGCTGCCTAGCCAGCGATGCCTTCATCCCGTGAATGAATTTTTAAAAATTAATAAGCAGCTAAGTGTTGGAGTCAATAATCTGAAGTTCTGGACTTCTGAGAAAGTGGAAAGTTGCTGGCACTATGGTGGGGAAGCCATGTGAAACTCAGAAAAAGGCTAAAATCATTAATAGTTCCGCACAACTGAAAGTTGGGTAAGTTGGTGGGGGCATGGTTGGGTTTAAAAGCTTTCAGACAGTATTTGTTTTATATAATTGATCAAGATGAGAACTCTGGGAGGCCCTTCAGGCAGAACTGGCTCATTTTGAGTCTGGCTGCTGGAGAAGTTCTGTAGTCCAACCTGTGAGCACTGTAGTCAAAGGGAGTGGAGACCCAGGAAGGGAGAATGATCAACCAGAACACTGAGGCAATCCATGATGGAGTTGTCATTGTGGGAGGAAGGAAGAAATTTTGTGAGAATTAATGACCCATTTTTTCATTAATGTCTGGGGGAATTGCTGAGAAATCCACAAGATCTGTCTTGTTCATATTTGTCATTTGATGTGCACTATGGGGTGTTTGATCATAGCACATTACTCACATTTACAACATTAATTCAGCACGGTAGAATACAAGTTGTGCATGTATAGTAGGTTGTATTACTGCTCTAACATTGTGTTGTAAAGTTTATTGTTGTTTGTTCAAAACCATTGTATCTTGTGGCTATAGTCTCATCATAAGCCCCCTGGATCTCTCGGTTTTTCCACTGTAAAAGTAAAGATTACTGATGCTTAACCAGATTACAACATAAATGCAGCTGTCTGGCCTGGGCTTTGTAACAATGTGGTGACAAAGGTAATGATACAATCTGGCTGCACCTGATAATATATATGACAATGCTGTCATTTTAAAAAGGTTATTTTGTCCTGAGTGTTTTTTTTTTGAAGAGAGGTTGTAAAGACAGATCGCACAAAGTGGCTATGGGAGATGGCCTAAGTCACCAATTAGGGGAGGCCTTTAGGTTTTTTAGAAACAGTTGAAACAATGAAAGGGGTGAGGCCAGTTCTCACATATCGAGTTTTTAAGCTGTAGCAGTCAGAAGCTGTTTGGGTCCCAGAAGAGAGAACAATTCCTAGTTGCTACATTCTCTGAAATCTCTCTTGATGTTTTTTCCTCCTGGATTGGAGAATTGCCTGTAAGAATCTGTGTCTGAATTTACCTTTTGCCAAGGGGTGTGTTTATGGAATGTTACTATATTGGAACAGTTAATTAGTAATAAATACTGTATCTATTAAGTTTTCCAATAGTTAAGTTATTCAAAATTCCTCTTTCTTTTTTTTGTAATTTAACTATAGTGTTTAAATAATTTGTATTTTGCTTAATGTCAAGTGTTTTGTCCAGTCGCATCACATCTGGAACATCACTTCACGTTTACCTTTAAAATAAGAAATAGTTAGGGTCTAGGCTACCTTAAAAAATTTTGAGGGGGTCTGGTCTGGTCCATAACACATATCATTTTGGGACATGATGTTCTGGTGTCCTAATCTCCAGCTTGGACACTAGATTGCATTCATAGTCCAACACACATGCAGGCTCACTCCAAAATACACCACCTTTTTCCTGATATAGAAACTGTTTGGTATCAATCCATAGACAACAGCATCGGATTCAAAAACAATATGACCAGTTGTGGGATTTTTTGTAAGATTTAATCATAAAATCTCTAAATTCCTGAGCAATGCCTGCACTAACATTAAATGTACATTCATAAACTTTAAACTTAAGGATTATTTAGGAACACAATTTAAAAATAAATATACAAGTTAAAAATAGTACACTTAAAACCAATGTTTGTAATCCAGCTACTATATCTTTAGTATCCTCTACTTGCTTTCTCATTTTTATCTATTAGTGTCTGTTCAAGACTCAATCTGGCATCTTTAAAATCTGGATTCAAAGTCAATGTTTTTCTGAAGTCTTCCAATGCCTGGTCAAAAAATCCTATAAAGGAAAAAAATAGTAAGTCATTTTGGTTTTTGATTTACGTAATGTCTGAATAATGTACTTTTTCCATAACTGCTAAGGTTTACAGTAGTTTCATGTTATAAAAAATGTGAAAGTTATGTTTACGGAAGACTCGTAATTAAAAATCCCATACAGCATTGTTAGAAATAAGTGGGAAATGTTGAAAAAACAGAAATTGCTGGAAAAGCTCAGCAGGTCTGGCAGCATCTGTGGAGAGAAATCAGAGTTAACGTTTTGGGTCGAGTGACCCTTCCTCAGAACTCTTCTCCGTGTGAAAGGTTATTCTACAAACTTTAAAAAAAATTGGAATGTCACTGACACAGTAAAGCTTTATTCATGATCTATGTCTAGTCATCCTGAGAAGGGTGCAGTGGGCTATTTCCTTGATTTGCTGCAGATTTTATAAGTGATGGTATTCCCACAATAATTAAGGAATTCCAAGGTACTCAGTAACACCAAGGGACAATAATATATGTCCAACTAGGCACAGTGTGTGCTCTGAAAGTGGGACTTGGGTGTTATTGATGAGTGAAAATGGCAAGCTTTTGCGTACATTAAGTTCTGCACACATTAAGGTTTGCATACATTAATTTTAATGAAATCTCAAGTGGCTTTTTTCTGGGAAATCGAAAGGAAAAAACTGCATTTTCATCTCAATCGAAATATGTTTCAAACAGAAATATCTGTAAACAAATGCACATTGGCTCTAATCAAAGTGAACTCCATGTCCATTCTGACTCACCTGCGTACCGGGTTAATGACAGAACAACAAACTACTGCGTAGCCACCAGATGGTAGACTGTACACTCAAAGGACTGGCAAGGTCAGTCCTAATTTACAGAAGCTGACACAGAACATTAGTTTCTTTTTAAAATTGATTTACTGGATGTGGCCATTGTTGGTTGGGTCAGCATGTTTTGCCTATCCTCAAATGTCCTTGGGAAAGTACAGTGTGCTGCTGCCTTAAACCATTACAGTCCATTTGGTGCAGGTGAACCCACAATGTCATTGAGGAGGGAGTTCCAGAATTATGACTCAGTGGCACTAAAAGAAAGGCAATATATTTCCAAGTCAGAATGGTGAGTAGCTCAGAGGGGAACTTGCAGATGATGGTGTTCCCATATACCTGCTGGCCTTGTCCTTCTAGATGCTAGTGATCCTGATTTGAAAGGTATTGTCTAAAGAGTCATGGTGAATTTTTGTAGATGGTACACATTGCTGCTACTGGGTCTCTATGGTGAAGGCAGTGGATGCTTATGGATGTGTTGCCAATCAAGTGGGCTGCTTGTCCCAGATGGTGTCAAGCTTCTTGAGTGTTACTTGATGTGAGTTACTCGCTGCAGGACTTTTAACCTCTGACTTCTATGGCCACAATATTTATAAGACTTGTTCAGTTTCTGATCAATGGTAACGCCCATGATATTGATAGTGGAGATTCAGTGATGGCAATGCCAACAAATATCAAGGGGTGATGTTATATTCTCTCTTGTTGGAGATAGTCATTACCTGGCACTTGTGTGGCATGAATTTTACTTTCCACTTGGCAGCCCAAACCTAAATATTGTCCATGTCTTGCTGCACTTCAACATGGATTGAGGAGTCATGAATAGTGCTGAACATGGCTAATCATCAGTGAACATTCCCACTTCTGACCTGATGATGGAGGAAAAGTCATTGATGAAGCAGGTAAAGATGGTTGGGTCTAGGGCACTACCCTGGGGAACTCTTGCAGATACTTGCTGGAGCTGAGATGACTGACCTCCAACAACCGCAACCATCTTCCTGTGTGCCAGGTATGACTCCAACCAGAAGAGAGTTTTCCCACTGATTCACAATGCTTTGTATTTTGCTTAGCCCCTTGATATAAGAGCAGTCACTGTCTGGAATTCAGCTCTTAGCAGCCTTGGTTTAAACATTGTCAGAAGCTGGGTGGCTCTGGCAGAACCCAAACTGTGCGGGTGCTACCTGGTAGCACTGCTGATGACACCTTCCTTCACTTTACTGATGGTTGAGAGATGGGGCGGTGATTGGCCAGGTTGGATTTGTCCTGTTTTTTGTACAGGACAAACCTGGGCAATTTTTAACATTGTCAATGCCAGGTGTATGCCAGCGTCTGTAATTGTACTGTAAGAGCTTGGATCGGGGAGCAGCAAGTTTTTGAGCGCAGGTCTTCAGTACTTTTGTTGGAATGTTGTCAGGGCCCATAGTCCTTGTTATATCATGCAGCGTGAAACAAATGGGCTGAAGGCTGACATCTATGATGTTGGGGGCCTCTGGAGGAGGAGGCTGAGGTGGATCATCCACTGGCACTTCTGGCTGAAGACTGCTGCAAGTACCTATTTTGCACTAATTTGCTGGGCTTCCCCGTCATTGGGGATATTTGTGAAATCTCCTCCTCCAATGAGTTGTTTCATTGTCCAGCACCATTCATGACTAGATGTGGCAGGATTGCAGAGTTTAGATCTGATCCATTTGTTGTAGATTTGCTTAGCTCCGTGTATCACTTGCTGCTTTTGCCGTTTGGCATGCGAACAGTCCTGTTTGGTAGCTTCACCAGATTAGCACCTCATTTTTGGGTATGCCTGATGCTACTCCTGGCATGCCCTCCTGCACTCTTCATTGAAACAGGACTTGTTGGTAACAGTTGAGTGGGCAACATACAGGGCCATAAAGTTGCAGACTGTATTGGAGTACAAGTCTGTTGATGCTGCTGACAGCCACAATGCCTCATGGATACGCAGTCTTCAGTTACCAGATCTGTTCAAAATTTCTCATCAGGAAGATGGTAGTACCACATAACAGTGGAAAGTACCTTCACCATGAGGATAGAGGTTTGCAAGTCCACAAGAACAATGCAGTGGTCACTCCCAACAAATTTTAATGGTCTCAGTCAAAAGAAGCACCAACACTGTAGGATGTAGCCTTTGTAGATCTTATTGTACTGCATCATAGTTGCTCAAGAAGGAACAAAGCATCAAGAATCATAGCATGGGACGTAATCAAAGCTGAAGGGAGAAAACCAATAAATGAGAAAAAATGCTAGTTTGGAACCTCCCAGCTCAAGAAATAAAAAACCAAAGAAAAAGTAAAAGGAAATATAAATGTAGAAGTGAGTTACAAAATACAAGCCTGTATAAACGTTATCAGCACATTGGAAATGTCGGGAGGAAGGGAACATACAGGACAACATGTTTTAGACTATAATAGGAATGGAACACAAATTCGAAGGAGTTCTGATTTTAGAACTATCAGCAAATAGAGAAGAAGTTTGGTGGCTAGAGGTGAATGAATGATTGCCTATTGGATAAGTTCTGGCTTCTATCTTGTCCAGAAGTAGAAGACAGCTGTCAGGAGGTTCCTTCCAAGAAATTGGACCAGCGTTTTGATTGAACCTGGCATTTGAAGAATTCAGAGTTGTTGAAAGAAAACGAATATTTGAGAAATGTAAGGTAATAATGTTCTGGAGGCAGGTTCTGCAGGGAGACATGGAAGCTCCAATTAACAACTGAAAAATTAGGATTTACACAAACATGAGTTGGAAGTAGGCCATTTGGATCCCTGGGCCAACTTCTGACATTCAATAAAACCAGGGCTTAGTTGTTTGTGCGTTGAATTCCACATTTCCATTTACCTTAGACTTTGATTCCTTTGTCTAACAGGAATATAGAATCATAGAATCATTACAGTGTGGAAGCAGCCATTTGGCCCATTGAGTCCACACTGGCCCTCCAAACAGCATACTACCCAGACCCACCTCCCCACCCCACCCTATTCCTGTAACCCTGCATTTCCCATGTTTGACTCACCTAGCCTGCACATCCCTGGACACTATGGGACAATTTAGCATGGCCAATCCACCTTACCTGCACCTTTGGACTGTGGGAGGAAACCGGAGCACCCGGAGGAAACCCACACAGATATGGGGAGAACGTGCAAACTCCACACAGACAGTCACCCCAGGGTGGAACCGAACCCGGGTCCCTGGTGCTGTGAGGCAGTAGTGCTAACCACTGAATCACCGTATCACCCAGTATATCTTTCTGAAGCTTAAAAAATATTCAATGTCTCCACCTCCACAGTCCTCTGAGGCAGAGTTCCAAAGTGTCTCAACCGTCTATCAGAAAACAATTCTTTGATCTCTCCCCTAAAAGGGCATCTTCGAATCTTTAGAAAGTGAGCCCTTTGTCAAGACTACTCTGGATTTGATAAGCTTCAACCAAATCACTTCACACTTTTGCTAAACTCCAGTGAAATAAGTTCAGTCTAACCTTTCCTCATAAAAGAAGTTGTTCATTTCAGGTTCCAATTCAGTAAACCTCTGATAAGCCACCTCCAACGCATTTACATCCTCACGTAAACAAGGAGATCAAAACTGCACACATTAGTCAAAATGTGGTCTCATTATTGCTCTGTATACCTGAAGCATAATTTCTTCACTTTTATACTCAATTCCTCTTGAAATAAAGTATAGCATCCCATTAGCGCTTTTTAGTTACTTGCTGTACTTGCATGCAAACATTTTGTGATTTATACCTAGGCCCCTCTCCAACTTGCAATTCTCCAGTCATTCTGTTTTAATTCTACTCAGTTTGTCATTGATGTAGGCGCCGTGGTGGCTTATAAAACTTTTGATATAAAAGTATGCTTGACAGTAAATTTCTATTTTTTATTTTTTTTTGCCAAAGTGAACAACTGATGAATTAGAAATAAGTACAGAACAATTAAAAGTAAAAGATGGTATTTTTTTAATGGCTTCACCCTTCTCTGATCAAGTTATGATCTAGAATGGAAAAGGTAAGGTAGGAAACAGTTTGTTTCTGAGCAGACATCCTAGTTTTTGTAATGACTGTCTGGAGTCCTCATTCACTTTTCTGATCTACAGTCCAACATTCGTAATCCATCTACTGACTAACTGACCTCACCAATTTACACATCTCAACAATTTACTGTGATTTCCACAGTGTCCTTGAGCTTAAAACAAGAGAACCCATACTTGGACCTCAGACTGCGCATGGTGATCTATTGGTTACTCCAAACCATTTTTGCTCAGGCTTTCCTGGGAATGATTCAGACTCAACTCTGCAAAAAAAAAACTAGTAGAACTATCTAGAAGATTAATACTAGTACCTTTGCCTTTTCCCGGAGATCCTTGGATTTCTTCTGAATTTGAACATTTAAGAAATAATGAGCTGAAATATTCTCATATTCGTGCCTAAGTCTTGAGCTAAGGTGTGAATGTTTTATTTTAATTGTATCTTTTTTCTTGTCTTGTCCCTCTTCAAGGAGGAAGGAAAGTTTCTCTGAAGTAACCACTCAGTTTGGATGACTTGTTTGAAATAGAATAGCCACTGGGTGTCACTAGTGTTGTTCTCTGCTCCTTTGAACGCTGTGTATTAAGCTCAAGGTTCACTGAAATGACCCTGTTTCAGCTGGAGCTGTGTTTAGGAGATTGGTGACTGAAGAGGCAGTCACTATTTTAACAAGATAATCAGAGATCGAAATTGTAAGTTTCAAATATTTAGGACATTTGTTCAGAAATTTCCTGAAAAGAAGTTATTTCACAAAGGTTCTTTCTGATCAGAAAACTGCATTGGTGTTAATGAGTTCATGTGATCATAGGAGGTGCTTTTTGGGGCCTCCGTACAAAAACATTGGTCAGAACCAAGGCAAATAGTGCATAGGCACAAAACTCTGCAAGTGGGAGGCAAAGCCATCTTTTCAAATTCTAACAAAAACAGAAATTGCTGGAAAAGCCCAGCAGGTCTGGCAGCATCTGTGGGGAGAAATCAGAGTTAATGTTTTGGGTCCAGTGACCAATCTCAGTGTGATCACAAGTACTGTGAAATGTGAGCTGAAGACAATTTAAAACAGTTGATGTCAAAAACGTATGATTAATAATCTAATCTGACAATTAGTTTCAATATTCTACTGTGGAAACATAATGTAAAAGCTAAATGTTACCTAGTCTATAACGTATCAATCCTCGATTGTAATAAGGAACTTCAAAATCTTCTTTGGTTTGAATTGCTAATGTGTAATCATCCATGGCTTCGTAAAAGTCTACTCTTAAGTACTTGATTTGGCCTCTGTTGTTATATGCATTAGCCAGGTCCTTGGCACAGCATTTGCTGAACAAGAAAAAGTGTTATTAGTTGGTAAGACATCATTACTAACATCAATCTTCAATTGTAATTTTCTGACTATTAACCTGTAATAAATGGTTGGAAAATCAGTTGCCATGTGTGGCCAAACTTCTAATGTGAATTTTGGTAGATGAGATAACTCAGAAAATTATCACTTTGCCACTGGATCAAATGCATGACGTGCTTTCGTTATGAGATGGACATAAGTAAGATTTAAGAAACTGAATCCTAGTGATTTGAATTATGAAGTATCTAATCCTCTTTTGTTCAGATACAGACTGAAAGCAAAAGTTAAATGGGACTTTTATTGGTTTATTCTCTTTTTTTAAAGAAAATTAGTTGCTCTATAAATATTTAACAGAAATGTAAGATGAACCACATGTTTGAATGGGAAATATAGTTACAAAGGAGGCCCTTTTCTTCCATTCTGACTGACGTCTGTTATCAAGCACCTATCTAAACTAGTCCCATTTTCCACCATCTGCCCTGTGCCTTGAAGATTTTTTTTAATGATCAGATGTGTTATAATATTCTACTTGTTTGGGTGGGACTTGAACCCATGCCTTCTGCTCAGAGACAGAAACTCTACTGCTGCACCATGGTGCATCATGTGATCCTCTAAATCCTACTAAAATGTTGTGATGTTCCCCTTCTCCCCCACACTTTCAGATAAGTGAGTTCCAGATTCTGACCACTCGCTGAGTGAAAACATTTCTTCATTAAATCCCCTCTAAAAGTTCTGCCTTTTACCTTAAATCTATGCCCCTCTCGTTATTGGTCCCTCTACCAAGGGGAAAAAATCTCTTCCTATCTGTGTCCCTTGTAATTTCTCACACTTCAGTCATGTCTCCCTCCGTCTACTCTGCTCTAAGGAAAATAACCTGTGTGTAATTTCTCTTCTGGGCTGAAATACTCCAGCCCAGTCATCATCCTAGTGAATCTCCCCTGCACCCTCTACAGTGCAATCACATCATTCCTCTGGTGTGATGACCAGAACAGCGCACAGTGCTCCAGCTCCAGATGTCTTCTATAGCTCCATCATAACCTTCCTGTCCTTGTCTTTATTAGTCGCAGGCATGGAATATAAACTTAAATATTGACCTGTCCTGCTACCTTCAAGGATCTGTGTACATGCTCTCTGATTCTCTGTATCTTCCAGGATACTACCACTCCTCATCATGTACACCTCTAACTTGTTAGTTTTCTCAAGTTCTCCTCTCTTTTTTCAGAATTAAATTGCATTTTCCACTATGATACACATCTGACAAATCCATCTATATTGACCCATAGTCTAAGGCTTTCCTCCCCAATATCTACCACACCACCAGTTTTCATGTTGAGTGTGAACTTGCTGATCAAACTCCCTACATTCATGTCTAATCATTAATGTACAGTGCAAACATCAAGGGACAAAGAACTGAATGCTGTGGTGTACTACTGACCAGGTTTCCAAATCACAAAAATAACCTTTGACCATCACCCTCTCCAAAGTGATCTTAGCAAACTCCTTACCTAAGACTACATAGACTGCATTCACTGCACTATCCACAGATGTAATCATCTCCATAAAACTCCATCATCAGACATTATCTCGCCTTGACAAAGTCTTGCTGACTATCCTTGATTAATCCTTGCCTCTCCTTGTGGAGATTGTGTCCCTCAGAAATTTTTCCATTTAGGTTAGTATCTAGAGAAAAAAAAAATGCCAATGTATAATAAAAACAAAAAATGTTGGAAACGTCAGGCAATTCTGAGCAGAGAGAGAGAGAGAGACACTTAAGATATCAGGTCTGTCACTGGAAGAAGATAAATATTTACTAAGTTTATAAAAATATGTAGGGATGGGGAAAAATGAAATGTAGGATGGTACAGGGAGAACAAAGTGGAATGTGTGTAATAGGTTGAAGGTAGGAGGCATTAAATATCAAATTAGCATGATGTTTTGAGGCAAGAGCAGAACAGTTAAAGAAACAAAAGAATGGTCTAGAGAAGATCTGAAAGGCAACAACAGAATTATTACCAGTCAGCATGCCTGAAGAAAATGACAATAGTGTTGTGATCTCAATTGTTGATCTTGCTGCTAAATCTAAAATTGTAAAACAATGTGCTATTCCAAGATGTGCAGATTGAGTGGATGATAAATTAGCCATAGTGTCCAGTAATGTGCAGGCTAGGTGGATTAGCCATGGGAAATTCAGGGTTACAGGGATAGAGGTGGCAGGTGGGATGTTGTTCGGAGGGTTGGTACGGACTTGATGGGCCAAAATGCCTCTTCCGCACTGTCGGGATTCTTTGATGCTATTCCTTCTGCTCACATTCAGCTCCATTACAGCAGGAGACTAAGCAGTCAGTGGGTGTGGGTTGGTGCATTTAAAATGATCAGAGGCTCATGGTCCAGCTTGTCTCTGAATGGAGTTGTTCAGCAAAACAATCAGCCCATCTGCCTTTGGTCTGCCCAGATTAGAGGAAACTGAATCATTGGGGGTAAATACAGTATCCGAAATTGAAAGTGGTCCAAATAACAGCAGTTTACTCAGTAAAAGGCGAACAACATAAAGGGGGTGTGTGTGAGAGAGAGTAACCAGGATCACTATTAGAGGGTGATAACACAGTGTGGAGCTGGAGGAACACAGCAGGCCAGGCAGCATCAGAGGAGCAGAAAAGTTGATGTTTCAGGTCGGGACCCTTCTTCAGAAAGAGAAGTGATCCTACAAAATAGAGGTCTAGTCTCCAATCTTATGGTGCAGTGGTAGTTTCTATACCCTAGACCAAGAGACCCAAGTTTAAGACTGGCACATTCCAAGGTCCAGGACTACATGCTGAGGGACGCACTAAAGCTTGGGGCCAGCTGTCGTCAAGGCACAGTGGGGAAAGACCACAGTCTGAGGTCTTTTGGCTGAAGGTAAATGGGGGTCCATTCAGTTATCAGACTCCCACCCCTCATGCCCCACTGCCTGTAAATTTAGTTCTGTACATGTGAGGGAGATCTTTAATTTGTTTGGACAGAATCAAACTCTAATGTTTATTTGCTTCCTTGATATGCTACTGTACAGAACCGAACTGCTTCAGTGACTATGTATATATACCAAGATATTTTTAATGAATAAAGTTTATTTTTGAAATAAATACATACAGATGTCTGTAATAATATCCCTGAACAGGTTAATTGAAAAATATCTACAATTTGAGCTGCAATTTACTAGTTTTATTGCAGTTGGACGCAGTCGTAGTTTTACCTCCTTTCACAGCCATACAGAGGAAGATTCCACGATATGGTTAATTCTCTGTTACCAGTCTACGCCTAAAGGGTTAAGACTCACTTTTTCCATTCACCGTCAGTGCAATGAAGAATGAACCGGGTGTAAAACTCTTCTGCAGTTCCGAACTTCTGCTTCTGGAATTGGGATTCTGCTTCTCTCAGAACAGCTCGACAGTCCATATTGTCCCTTCCTGTAATAGATAGCCTTTCTTCCGGGATTACCTAATACTAACTCTGGCGCTGGCCTCGATCTACTGCAACTCGCTATTGCGGACGGCACAAAGCAACGCGAGCACACTTTGTTTTGAAGGAGAGACTGAAAAAAGAAACTGAAACCGTGCCTTTTTAATTTTTGAAATATCGTAATTAATTGATTGTATTAAACGTGCAGCCTATGCCAATGAGAGAGGACTCTCAGATCCTTTCTGGTTCATAAATATTATCAAGGATTTAAGATTTTAATTCCACAAAAGAATTACGGGACTGAATTTCCATGATCATTCTCCAACTCACCATTGGTGATCGTTAAACTGTTGATAAACGGCATACGCAGTTAAGGGAATTTATTTATACTATTTATATATCGTCTTTCAGGACAGCCCCTATGTAACAGTAAATTGTTTGTTCTACGTTTCTGCAAACGTAGACAATAGCGTGAAGTGTTGGATGGATTTGCAGGCTTTCCAATCGCTAACTGCCGGAGAAGAACCTGAAACCACTGCAATACTTTGATCATTAGGGGTATACAAGGCTGTTAGGAAAATGAGTTCCATGATTTCGACCCAGTGGCAGAAGGAACGGCGATACAATTCCGAGACAGCTGTGTGAATCCACAGAATCCCTGGTGTGGAAACAGGCCATTCGGCCCAACAAATCCACATCAAAAAGCATGCCACTGAGAGTACTCCCCCCACCCCACCACCAACCCCCTTCACCCTGTCCCTATCATCCTGCATTTCCCATGGCTAACCCACCTAACCTACACATCCTTGAACACTGGGCAATTTAGCATGGCCAACCCACCTAACCTGCACATCCCCGGCCATTTTGGGCATGGCCAATCTTCGTAACCTGCACATCTTTGGACTGTGGGAGGAAACCACAGCGCCCGGAGGAAACCCACGCAAACACAGGGAGAATGTGCAAACTTCACATAGACAGTCGCCTGAGGATGGAATCGAACCTGGGTCTCTGGCGCTGTGAGGCAGCAGAGCTAACTACTGAGCCTCTGTACCGCCCCGTGCTGTGTGATTTGGGGGGAACATAACGACCAGAAATTCCCATGTATCTGCTGCCTTGTGATGGAGGCCACAGGTCTAGATGTTGAAGGAATCTTGGTGAATTACTGCAGTGGATGTTGCAAATAATTCACTCCCACTGATGCAGTGTGTATGCTGAAGGTGGTAGATAGGATGCCAATCAAGTGGGCTGCTTTGACCTGGATGGTATCAAGCTTCTTAAGTGTTGTTGGAAGTGTTGATTCCGTTCACAGACCTGACTTGTTACTTGCAGGTGACTGCTTTGCAGAACACGTGTGTTCGGTCTGAAAAAAATGACCTGAGCTTCTGGTTGCCGATCACTTCAATGCACCACTATGTTCCCTGGCCAACACTTCTGTCTCTGGCCTGTTGCAGTGCTCCAGTGAGGCTCAGTGCAAGTGGGAGGAACAGCATTTTATGTTCTGCTTGGGGACCCTGCAGCCTTCAGGACTCAACATCGAGTTCAATAATATTAGAGCCTGATCACTTCCATCCCTGTCCTTTACCCAGTCCCTGCTATCAAACGGGCTGCTATCATTACAGCCAACCATTTTCTTCCTCCCCAGCTCACCATTATCCGTCCCTTTGTTAGCCCAGTGCTGTTCTGTCTCTCTGGGTTCCATCTCTACCTATCATTTACTCCTTTCTCTGCTAGGCATGTTTTAAAAATTCATTCAGGGGATGAGGGCATCACTGGCTAGGTCAGCATTTATTGTCCAGGGAGCAGGTCAGAGTCAACCACATTGCTGTTGGTCTGGAATCACATATGGACTAGACCAGGTAAGGATGGCAGTTTTCTCCATTAGTGAACCAGTGGGTTCTTCCAACAATTGAAAATGAATTCATTGTCATCTTGACTCTTAATTCCACATATTGATTTAATTCAATTTCCACTGTCTGCCATGGCAGGATTGGAGTTTGGGTCCCCAGGACATTATCTAGGTCAATGGATTAACAGTCCAGCAACAATTCCACAAGGCCATCGCCTCCCTAATGTGTGACATGTTATTTGCCACTGGAAATGACAAGCCTTTTAATTGCAATATCAGATACCATCTTATATTTGAAATTAGAACTTCTAGATATAAACAATTATATTAAATTTCAAAAGATTTTCCACTGAAGTTAAAAAGTTCCCTCTATGGAGCTTGTTGACCTCAAATTATTAACATTTGGTGACTCATTTGTCTTTCCAGGTTTAAGACAGAAGTTCTGAGGAAAAATTAAAAGTAGATCACAATTAGCTCATACAAGATACCAGATCTTTTGCCTAATAACAAATGAACAAGGCCATCTTATGTTTATAAATATTCAGAGATTCTACAAAATGCACATATCAGATAAAAAACATAAAGAAAGTTACTATTTTTGATTAATTCCAAATCATTTGATGTTGTAAACATAGATAACAAAGTGCTGTTTGCAACATAGTGATTTAAAGTGCTGATTTCAATCAATCAAATGTGAGTAAAAATCTAGCTCATACATCTGAAGCTCTTCAAAGTTGTCCATAAAGTCAGTGAGAAATTTCAGGGAATTTAATTTGTTCAGAGGTTTTCTAAAGTTAGTTACCCTGCAGAACAGATTTTGTGGATTTCATCAAATCCACTTAGGGGACCATGATACAAATGGTTGAATGCTTGTTCCAGTGGTCTTAATAAAGGCAAATAGTTTTTTTTTCTATATATACCTAAGATCAGAGGAATTGCACATCTTTGGAATCCTCTACCAGGATCCCTGTGGCTTTGTTCAAAACAGTTAACTTACAGTCGGAGTCATACAGCACAGAAACAGACCCTTCAGTCCAACTAGTTTGTGCTGAACAGACATCCCAATCTGACCTAGTTCCATTTGACCTATATCCCTCTAAACCCTTTCTACTCATATTCCCATCCACTTGCCTTTTGAATGTTGTACTTGTAGCTGCCTCCATCACTTCCTCTGGCAGCTTGTTCCATCCACGCACCTCCCTCTGTGTGGAAAAAGTTACCACTCAGGTCCTCCTTAAATCTTTCCCCACTCACCTTAAACCTATTCCCTCTAGTTTTGGACTCCCCTACCCTAGGAAAACAACCTTGTCTATTCACCCTATCCATGCCCCTCATAATTTTATAAACCGCTTTAAGGAGACCCCTCAGCTTCTGACGCTCCAGGGAAAAAAGGCCCAGCCTATTCAGCGTCTCCCTTGATCCACTTCTAAATAATTTCAAAACAATCCATTTATGCAAGTATAAATTCATTGTTTTATTGAAATACACCAGGAAAGCAAAGTACCATATATAAATTACTTTATAAAAATGGTTTGCTTCAGAGATTGAGACAGCACTATTATGTATAGCATAAATTGTACAGATCATAGAAGATAAGTTAAATGAAAGTTTAAAGTTTTTTTTAATTTTTCCTGATAAATGACTATTGACAGGAGAAAACAATACACAAATGTTTGTGATGTCACTGCACTCCATTCTGTAGAAAACAAATGTCACTAATCTCAATTAAAATTACGTACAAGAAATCTCTAATAAAGTGAGTTGTTAATATAGATCAGGATATTTCTAGGTATCTTCAGTTGTGATATTTCTGTCCAACTATTGTTGTCAATAAGTTGCTCAACTAATCAATTTCTGTGCCTATGGTTAAGTTGCCAAAAGTTACTTGTAATAAAAAAGGGATGCGCATAACTCTCAGCTTTGTTCAAAATCCATTAATGTAATTCTCTTTGGAAAGGCTATAAAGATGATTCACCAAATGTTACTTGAATCAACTAAGCTGTTACAAAAAGCTAATGCAGTATCTTTTAATGTGGAGAAATGTTCAAATGTGCCCATCAGAAATGTATAAAACATCGTCCCAAGCCAAAAGTAGTGGATTGAAGGTGGGCCCTAAAAGGAGGAGGGCAGATAGAGAGACTTGGGAATCTCAGTTCTGGACAATTCTAGGCTACCAATTGTGAGATGAAGTAGTAGGACATGACATGGGGTAGGATATATCAAAGTTCTATGTTGACGAAAGTTCCCTGAAGGCTCAGATAAAATTTCAACTGGATTACCTGAGGAGGTGGGCAGTGGGCAATATAGTGGAGCTAGAGTGTGGAGGACTTAAGGGTTGCTAATGTTTACCAGTATTCAGTTCAAGCAAGGGAGAGGGATAAACCAGAAAACCACTGACCAAACAGCCTAATTAAGGAACTTATTGAAAAACTCTGTTAAGGACAAAATATGATTTACTTTGGAAAGACATAGTTTAATCAAGGAGAGCCAGCATAGATTTGTTAAAAGCAAATCATGCCTGACTAATTTGACAGGGTAACAGAAAACATTCATCAAGGTAGTGCAGAGTATGTACAAAATAACTTAAAGGCATTCAACAAAGTGTCACACAGGAAGTTTATTAAGAACAAAAACAAAGTTGCTGGAAAAGCTCAGCAGGTCTGGCAGCATCTGTGAAGGAGAAAACAGAGTTAACGTTTCAGGTCCGGTGACTCTTCCTCAGAACTATTTATTAAGTTTATTAAGAAGCTAGGAGCCCAAGGTGTTAAAGGAAAATAGGCTAAGAAATTGACCCAGTGAGAACAAAGGGTGGTGGTAGTGGATGGATGTTTGCAGTGAATGATGGCACTTCTGGGTTAATTATGCTTTGCATTTTTCTAAATGACCTAAACTTGAGTGCAGGGAGCAGTATTATAAGATTTGCTGATGATACAAAACTTGGCAAAGGAGTAGATGGTGACACATAATTATGGGTTTCATGATAAGCCAGACAGTACTGAAATGGATTAAAGTATAGCTGATGGAGTTCAAGATAGAAAATTATGAAGTAATTCATTTTGGACTAATACAGGAAGATAGTAACGATAAATGTTAGGATTCTAAAAAGTGCAAATGAAGAGAGACACATTGGTTTCCAAAAATGTAAATTCTTAAAAGTAGCACAGCAAGTTGATAAGATGGTTACTTGGGTTTATGAATAAAGGGGTAAATATAAAAGCAGTGCACACACGCTATGACTTTATAAATCTGTTTTTGGCCTTAACCAGAGTATTGTGGACAATTCTGGGCCCTACCCTTTAGAAAAGATGTAAAGTCCTGAGAAAGGGGATAGGTGGGGAAATGGGATTAATTTGATTTACCGAGAGGCATGAAGTCATTGGGCTGAACACCTCCTGTGTTGCAATGACTATATAAAAGGATACAGAAAAGACTTAGCAGAATGCTGCCAGAGAATAGTGAATTCAATTATGAGGACATGCTGGTAAAGATCAGACTGTTAACTTGGACCAGAGAAGGTTATAAGGTTACCTAGAGGTTTCAAGGTGGTGAATGGGTTAATTAGAGTACCTGGAGTAAAACTATTCCCTTGAGTGAGCAGTCAATAATCAAAGGACATTGCTTTAAAATCATTTCTGAAGAAAATGTAGAGGTGGGTGAAGATTTTTTTTTCTACGAATGGCAGATTCTGGAACATTCCATCTTAAATTGTGATTAAAAATTAATTTTCTAAATTTTTAAAGCACAGTTTGGACAGACATGAGTGGAACTTACATGATTCCAGGCAAAAAAGCAGGACTATGGGGCTAATCAAAACTGTTTTGTCCAAGAGTCAGCAAAGGCATTACAAGGCAAATAACCTCTTTCTGTAAACTTTTATGATTCTTTCAGCAATAGGTAGTCACATTTTTGTGATTTTTTTTTTGGTTATAGCAATTACAATGGGCTATAAATGGTGCCTAACCCTGCTTAGAGAGATTCAATCCAGGATCTGTGTAAAAGATGGCTTTGGGTAATTTGCTCAACAGTTAGAGAGGAACAGAAGGTTGAAAATGAAGGAGCAGTAAACTCGGACGCAAGTTTTACTTTTAGTAGGGGTGATGTGGGTGATTTTGAAAGGGAGCAAGATTGTAGATGAGAGAAGGCAGTCATCAATATTACTTGATAACTAAGAGGAGGGAAGCAACAGAAAGCTTTAAATTATGTAAATCTTGGTGATAACATAGACAAGAATTCTAAATGAACGTAAAGAAGCAAGATAGAGATTTGATAATGTATTTGATAATAAAAAAAAATAAAGATGAATAAAGAAGGCTTTCCAGGATTATCTTGGGGCAGTAGTTCTTCAACGGAGCTTTGTGGCCCACCAGTCTGGTGATGACAACTAAGCTAGTCATGTACGTGATACACCATAGTTTACAGAACTTGGACTTCAGGAAGCACAGATAGGAATCAATATGGAAAGGCTATTAAAGCTGTAAAATTGGAACGGGGGAACAGACTGACAGTTTAGAGATGCTGCAGCAATATAAAACAAAGACAAATGACATTTGGTTTTTATGTGAGTTGGACTTTAATTCAAACCAGGCTAACAAAATGAAAATCTCCTATATGCAAGTTAATACTATTCTTGGTGAAAGTGAGTTGGACAGACTTATATCAATTCCTTGAGGACATAGATGCATATCAAAAAAAACACAAATTTGATGCTAATTAGTACTTGTACTCAAGGCCCAAAGATGGCTGATATAAGAAATGTCACATTGGTTAAGTACACCTTGAATAACCTGGGACTGTTTGATGTCCCTAGGTTTCTGAAATGGAAAATGATGTAAATCTCACTTCTGATATTAGTTCAATGAGACTTGAGGGGGGTGGAAATGACAAAACTGCAGACAGTTGTTCAAAACAATTATTTGAATGTCACAATAAATCTGAACAGACATTTCTAAACCATTACTGCTTTGTAAACTTTATTTTAATTTAGCCTTTGCTGATCTATCCAACAGGATTATGACATAAGGGACAAAAATTGTGGTTGCTTATATCCTGTTCATGAGCACAATGTTTACAGACACCACACATCCAGAACTGGTAGTCTGCAATTGGCCGACCTGTCACGACACAAGTTGGAAGTTTTCCTTCTCCTCTGCAGGAAAGAAATGAGAAATTTTGTATTTTCATTCACACAAAGTTTACAATAAATGCTTTGTAATATCTATAAGATTACATTGTTGTCATCCACCAAAAAGGAAAAATCAAAGTATTTTAAAACCAGCTCTTCAACTTGTCATCTGACATTCAAAATTAAGAAAAGGAAAGACACCATAGTCGTACTGGATCATTCTGCTGGTTTCTCATTATAGAGAGATGACTGGTGGTGGTTTTACCCAAGGGTGAGTGGAAAGGTTCAGAAGGAGAATCCTTCACAGTAACCTCAGCCAGTATGGGAAGTGAACCCACGCTGTTGGTGATACTGCACTGCAAACCAGCCATGTGGTGAACTGATCCAAGCCACTAGCTTAAGAATGGCTGACGTGTCTTTATTTGCATAAAACAGCAGATACCAGTATCAGTGTCTGATTTTCATTTGAGATGATTCACATAGTTAATACTCAAAATTTGTGTGATAGCATGTCACCACAAAATTGCTTTTAAAGCAAAAGAAGGAATTTTGAGTTAAAATCTAACAAGCATGTCAACATGCTTTCTATATTTAAGTACTATTTAAACTTCAGGTGCTTTTATTAGCAAATGTCGTGGATATTCTTCTGCATAAATCAAAATACTAAAGAGCATTCTTGAACAGTTCAGTCCAATTTCGATTCATTGAAATTCTTTCAAGTTTATGTTGCTGCTTTTAGCTGCAGACTATTAGTTTCTACTGTGAATTAATTAACAAGTACTGTGAAAAGATTTGGCAATCAATATTCCTTGTCCACCCACAGGGTCACTATAATAGCATTGAGATTTCATCCATGGCCCATCCTTTTTCTCATCTATCCTCACCAACTTTAAGTATTTCAAATTTTCCGGTGTACTGGATTTCAAATTCTCAGCCTATGAAGTTCTCCATACCTTTGTCATTTCTTTTCTCCTCTGCAGAACGTGTCAACACGTGAAGCCTGCTTTGTCCCTCAACTCCAATTTGGTGGCACAGCATTCAGTTAGCTTGATCTCAAACTGTACACTGAAATACCCTTCTTTAATAAGCCCTCCTTTCTTCCTATCCTACTATCAAAATGTTTTTTCCTATCTGTATGCCATGCATTTAGTCACTTCCCTAACTCTTCTACTATTGCATGGTGTCCATTTTCCTCACTGAAACACCTTGTGGAAAGTTTTGCCGTATTAAGGCTTCTAGATGTTCCTACCAAACGCACCATATCAAAACCTTATTGCAATTTTTATTTTAAACAGTCAAGCAATTTATACCAACCCTTCTGGGAGACTGTCCAAATCGGATTTCTTGCCATCTTTAGGGCTGTGCTTGATGAAGATCTCAAGGGCCAGGTCTTCATATTGTTGTCTCTGTTCCGAAGTCAACGTGTCTAGAGATTCAAGCTTGATAAAAGCTTTGGAACATGTCCCAAAAGCCCGATTTGCACAAGCAGCAAGGGCCAATAAAGAGTAAATCTCCACTGGTGGGATAATGTCTTCATAGTCACGCAAATGAAGTGCTGCAAATTTACAAAATGAAATTGTTTGGCTTCATGACAAACTATCTACAATAAACACATACAATTAAAAGACTCATCTCAATCAAAGGACCCACTTCCAAACTAATGACTCAAAATTAAATTGTATTGAAGCATACTAAACTGCACATGTATTTGCTTTGTTAGTTCTGATCCATATGTTTTGAATTTCACTCATGTGTCTCAGAGTGCTCCTCTTATGAACTGACCCTCTGGATCAAGGTTGGACTTGGAGGATAGTAGAGTCTGCTATTCCGACTTGACCTAAAGCAATTAAAATGGGTGTTTATAATACATATCTCTATACTAAGGATAGAATGTAAAAGTCTATTCTAAATCTAAATAAGCAAGCTCAAAATTAAATTCCCTTTGAGGCATAGGATGCTCCAAATCCTGGAGATGTGTGAATTAATTCAGGTGACATCTTCACAGTGAACATGTCTATTTCTAATTTTCTGAATTTGTTGGTTTATGAGCATGTTATTTCCACTAATACAACTACCTCTTTTGGGTAGTGATATTTTTCAGCAATTAGCATGATGGCCTTATCAATATTTGCAGGAGGACCTTGCACACATGACAATATTAAGTGATTTCCAGTTCAGAAAGAAATGAAAAGGCAACTGCTTGAGAAAATGTGATCAGCACAAATCAAACTTGCATCAGAAATTGTTTTTTAAAAAAAAGGAAACTACTACTGAGAGGTGAATAGACAGATGGAAAGTGATCTACAGAGACACTAAGTTCAATGGAGTCTCTCACAGGTCATTACTTCCAATTCCAAAATGAATTTGCACTGACTTGCTAACAACTAAAATTGGTAAAGAGGCTGCTGCAAAATAATTCAGATCAGCAACTGAACAGACATGTGGCAAACGGAATTTGATACTTATAAATGTAAAGTATTGCACAGAAGTGAAAAAATTGTGCCATGACAAGTAGCTATACTTAAAAAATATTTCATTGTTTAAAAAAAAAACCCTTAGCTCATTTTGGGCTTGGAAGGGCACAATGCGAAAAAGAAAGACATGTGACGGTAAGTATCCAATGAACAGATCAGAATTGGACTGGAGTTTAATTTCAATGTACAGAAATAGTAAAGGATAATAATACGGAACAAAAAGTTTTGTTAAGTAGCCGTGGCGGGGGGAAACAAATGCGAAAGGTTTAATCCAGATAGAAGGTCAAGAGATATGGCATAGTAAATAAGGTAAAGTCACAGTAGTTTTACCAGACCATAGGGCTGCTCTCTCATTAAAGACAGAGATGACTGGTGGTGGTTTAACCCAAGGGTTGTCACATTTCAGGAGAGGGTGAGAAGGAGAGTCCTTCATTGTAACCTCAGCTAGTGCAGGAAGTGAACCCACACTGTTGTTGTCACAAAATAGATGTCTAGCAACTGAGCCATATACAAGATTATTACTTTGTTAGCCAATAAAGTAGGACCAAAGGTCATGAACGCAAATTAGTAAATTTTATTTATTCATTAATGATACTAAGGAAGACAAGAAGGGCAAAAACTTCAGTTGTTCATTAATTACATGCCACAGTGAAATTCTACATAAGGTAATCTTCACTAGTCATTTTTTATTCTTCTATTGGACGTGGGAATCACTAGCAAATTCAATATTTGTTGGCCTTTGCTATTTGTCATTGAGAACAAGATGCTGAGCCACCATCTGTCAACTGCTGCAGTTCATCTGGTGTTTGTAGCAGTTTGCTAGATCCACTGGTTTGCTAGGCCATTTCAGAGGGTAGTTAAGAATCAATCACATTGCTAATGCAATGTGGAGCTGGAGGAAGACAGCAGGTCAGGCAACATCAGAGAAGCAGGAGAGTCGTTTCAGGTCGGGACCCTTCTTCAGGACTGGGAAGGGGGGAGGGAGCTGGGAGATAAATAGAGGGAGGAGGGGTGGTGCTGGGGGATGGTAGGTGGGAAGGGTGGTGTGGATAGGTGAGAAAGAAGATGGACAGGTTGTGTCAAGTCAAGGAGGCGGGAATGAGAGGGAGGGTTGGACATAGGATAAGGCCAGGGGTGGGGGGATTATTGAAACAGGTGAATTCTATGTTCAGGCCATCGGGCTGTAGGCTCCTGAGGTGGAATATGAAGTGTTGCTCCTCCAGTTCGCGTGTGGCGTCATTGTGATACTGGAGGAGGCCCAGGATGGACATGTCACCCAGGGAGTGGGAGGGTGAGTTAAAATGGTTAGTGACCTGAAGGTGTTGTTGATTATAGCATACAAAGCACAGATGCTCCATGAATCAATCAGTCACCAAGTCTGCGCGTGGTCTCACCGATGTAGAGGAGGCCACACCAGGAGCAACGGATACAATAGGCCAGATTGGAGGATGTACAGGTGAACCCCTGTTGGTTATGTAAAATTTTATTTGGACCTTGGATGGAGGTGAGAGCGGAGGTGTAGGGGCAGGTGTCGCACCTCCTGCAGTTGTAGGGAAAGGTGCCGGGTGTGGTGGGTTTGGTGGGGAGTGTGGAGCGGACGAGGAAGTCGCAGAGAGAGCGGCCCCTACGGAAGGCACATAGGGGTGGGGAGGGAAATATCTCTTTGGTTGTGGGGTCGGATCACAGGTGATGGAAGTGGCAGAGAATGATACGCTGGATGCGGAGGTTGGTGGGGTGGTATGTGAGGACCGGGGGATTTTGTCCTTATTTTTATTGGGGGGGACGGGGTCTGAAGGCAGAAGTGCGGAAAATGGGAGCAAGGGAATGCATTCTTGCAGGAGGGTGGGTGAGAGGAGGTGTAGTCAAGGTAGCTATGGGAGTCAGTGGATTTGAAATAGATGTCAGTGCTGAGATAGTTATCAGAGATGTACTAGAGATGGTCCAGGTGAATTTGAGGTTGGGGTGAAAGCTGTTGGTAAAGTTGATGAACTGTTCAAGCTCCTCATAGGAGCACGAGGGAGCACCCATACAGTCATCAATGTAGCGGAGGAGGAGGGACACTTCTCCTCCCATGCCCATCCAAGGCCCAAGACAAACTTTCCATATCCAATAGGAGTTCACCTGTACATCCTCCAACTGGTCTACTGATTCTGTTGATTCCAATGTGGCCTCCTCTACATCAGCGAGACCAAACACAGGCTCTGTACGCGATAATCGACAACATCTTCTAGTTGCTAACCAATTTAACTCTCCCTCCCACTCCTTTGGTGACATGTCTTCCTGGCCCTCCTCCAGTGCCACAATGACGCCACACACAAAGTGGAGGAACAACACTCCTATTCCACATCAGGAGCCTACAGCTTGATGGCCATGAACAAAGAATTCACCTGTTTCAAAATCTTCCCACGCTGGCACCCCCAGCCTCATCCCATGTCCAATCCTCCCTCTCATCCCCGCCTTGACCTGACACAACCGGCCCATCTTCTTCCCCACCTATCTGTCCCACCCTTCCCACTGACAAATCCCCACTACCCCCTACCTGCATCCACCTATTACCATCCCACCTACCTTCTCCCAGCCCCACCCCCTACTCCCTCTATTTATCTCCCAGCTCCCTTCCCTCTCCCCAGTCTTAATGAAGGGTCCTGACCCGAAACATCGACTCTCCTGTTCCTCTAATGCTGCCTGACATGCTGTGTTCCACCAGTTCCACACTGTACTGACTCTGACTCTAGCATCTGCAGTTCTTGCTTTCTCAATCACATTGCTCAGAGTCTGGAATTACAAGTTGGCCAAACCAAGTAGGATGGCAGATTTCCTTCCCTAAAGGAAATTAAAGAATCATTTTTTTTAAATGATAGTTGTCTGATGGCATGATTACCAAGTCTAGCTTTCAATTCCAGATTTATTAATTAATTGTACAGAAATTTCACCAGCTGCTGTGGTCATGCCTGGAGCATTAGTCGAGACTTCAGGATAATCAGTTACCACCATGCCACTGACCCCATAACAATTCTACCCTAGAATTAACTAGCTGAAATGTAAGCATCCAGAGCAGATTTCAGAACTTTGAGGGATAGTTATTTTCTGCTCATTCTGTCATACAGTTCTGCTGTAAATCCTGTATAATATAATTCCTGTGAACAAAATGTATAATGGCAAATATCCTAACTTAAATTATTTAACTATATATTTCCAAAAGGTTAACCAAATCAGATTTTAAAACAGCTCAAAATCTGAAAGATTTCAGTTTTACTGACAAAGAAACAATAAACATTCTTCTACAATATGAAACTTTGTATTTTTGCAACCATTCATTCAAATTCTGTTATTGATAATTGCATGAAGATACATTGAGAACTGTTAATACTTTTGACAGATATTACATACTTATAGGGAAAAAAAAACTAGTTATTTGTAGCATCTTCAATTTGGGATATCCGAAGCTCATGAAAGGCACAAAATAAATGCAAGTAGATGACAGGCAAGCATTTACGATTGATAAATATTTAAACTAAAACCAGATGTTTCAATTTTCAAAGCGGTGCTGCAAGCTATGTTACAAGAAAAGGCAGTGTTGTAGCAACCTAAAATATAACAGACTGCTTAATAAAATAAATCAGTGTCTCCATGATGGTTTACCAGAGTAAAATAGAACAGTTGATGAAAGATGCACTAGACATTCCACTGTGGTACCACTGCATAAGATTAACGGCATGACAGTGCTGTACAATTTACTGAAAGCAGAAAAGGAATATTGCTAACCAAGTATGACAGCTCATCTGAGAAAAAAACTCTTTCAGATACAAATACCACTGAATATTTTGTAACTGACCAAAACATTTAAAAAATCTCATCCGCTTGTTGAGTTAGGACACAGGAGGTGGAGTCTTGGATTGCCTCATTTATAGGGAGAGGGTTTACAACTTGGTGGGCCTGGCATGCATTGAAACAGTCAAGTCTAGAGGTACAAAGTGAATATATGAGAACTTCAGTAGAAAGTGAGTTGAGGTAAGAGTGAAGTCAGGTGATATTAGAGATGGTGAGGCAGATATATGATTGGAAGTTGTTCTCAGATCAACCTCAGACACTTGACAGGGAGGGGGAGCCAGTAGGTACGAAGAATGGCTTTGGTTATTTCAATATTCAGTTACAGGAAAATTCTTTCATCCTACAACCAAATCAAAAGAACAACCTGACAATGTGAAGTCAGTGATGGGGTCTAGATTTGAGTTAGTGATAAAGAATAGCTTTGTGTCATTAACATACATGTGAAAACTGACATTTTCAGATGATACCACGAAGGGTGTGCAAATGAGAAATAGAGAGACAGATCCTTTAGATGCATCAGAGCAAAAGGCACTAGAATGAAAAGAGATTATAGATGATTCTCTGACAGTGACTGGACGGGTTAAAATGAAACCTGGCTAATGACGTTGAGTGACAATGGAGAGGTGTTTAAGGAAGGTCTGTGGTCAACCATAGCAATTGAAGAAGTCAGGTTGAGAAGAATAAGGAATAATAGTTTAAAAAAAACAAATTGCTGAAGAAACTCAGCAGGTCTGGCAGCTAATATTGAAAGGTAAACAGAGTCTCTTTGTCAGAACTGTTCTGACAGGGCTTTAGAGCTCTCGCCCCCGTCCACACTTCAATCCACTTGACACTAGACGTTTATTATCAGTTGCTAGAACAACATTTGCAGGGACATACAGATTCCTCTGAAAAGTTTAGAAAACTGCTCTATATAACAGTCCTCGTTAATACTCAGAAGACTACAATGTAAATAAAAATTATGAACAGTTAACATTTATGGTGGTGCACACTAATAGTCCTCATCAACTCAGCTTATCAGTGTCTCCAAAGTGGAGTCGACATAGCGTCCATGTTTTCATCAGTCTGCATCATGATGATGCTATGCGAGAAGACACTGCAAAAACTGTAAACGCAATCCTTTATAATTACAGCTGTTCACCAGGCTTATCCATAAACTGCTTGCCTCACATGAGCAGTTATACTGTTTTTCTTCTCCATGCTGGGCTTAAATCCACATCTCTGTCCTCTCAATCTTACTATCTGCCAAACTATCTCCCTGCCCATTACCAGAAATAATTCTAATTTCATGGCAAAAACAGAGCACAGCTTCAAGGATAACTTATTTTACTCAAATGATACATACCTGTTTTCATTGCAGCATCTACATAGCCTTCATAAAGCTGACGCTGAGCGAGCAAAAAGAAGTGATATGCCTCAGCCCCGCGCCAAGCATTATCAATAATGCGATTATCTGACAAAGAAGCATCTTCTTCAAGTAACCCAGCTAGAGCTGTTGTTGCCTGAAACAACGCACAAAAAATGTAGCATGCATTTGTTGCACTATATCATTAAACCAAACAGAACTTTATAGAAATCATTTCAATACAGAATTAAAGATGCTGTGTTATATCCAACATGTTTAAAAACCTCCCTTTTTTGGATGCAGGTTGATGTGCTGGAAATTTCCAATATTTTGGGTTTACAATAAAATCGGTCAATTCATTTTATGAATTGAAATGTGGTCTGAAAACAAATCAATGATAAATACCTAAGCACATCTTCAGAATTTTAGACATTGCAGATTTATACAAGATCATTCTTCCGTATGAATTTCTAACATGCTAGTTTTACTTTTGAATTAACACACATTTGCTTCATCAATGTGTCAGGTTTTAAGTGAACTATACACTGTCCATACACTGAATTGGCTCAGACAGATTGTTTAGTGCTCCAAAGATTGGCAGAGGAGATTCTAATGGCACACTGAAAGAATGACCTGAGGCATTTGTTAATTGCTTGGGAGAGTGTTGAGCTTGGAACAAGGTATTCTGCACAACCTAGCTCTTCAAAAGCTAATAATAAACCTCTTGCTGCCTCTGGAACCCATCTCCTCTTTCCACTAGGTTGGCAGGTAGCTAAAATGACTTTCCCATGCAGCTATAATTGCAGTCGGATCCTGACCTTCATATTTAAAGGATAAGCCCATGAGCTTCCAGTGGGTATAGCTTTCTGCAGCTCAGAACAGTAAGTGAAGATCAAGACAAGAAGATGGTGTAGCAAAATCCCACAGGTAATTTTGTTTACCAGACTGCTCAATTTCCACCCAGGCCAATTGAGTTAAAATCAATTGTTAATGTGTGTGCTCAAACATAAAGAGTATTCTCTTGGGCAACACTTAGGTCAGTAGCCATGGTATTGTTTCCCAGCATCTCACTGGCTGAATAGGAGGTACAGTATGCAGTAAAAATATTCATGTTCCTTACTTAGAAAACTAAAGCATCACTTCTTAACAGCTAAAGCTGTATTTTTACGTATATTGTTGAAATTAGAACACTTGATCAGAGTTAAATATCAAATTTGTTTTATATGCAATACCTCTGATCTTCTGCCTTTCAATTTTGCTCTCTGAGTGTTCTTTATTTGTTCATGATAATCTTCCACAAGTAGTGCTGCCAGCACATACAGTTTCTTAACACGTAACGGCTTAGTTCTCTTTTTTGCCTCTTCTTCAGCAATCTGAACAAAATTACAAAATAACTGATTTCAAGAGGAGAATATTCAAAAACCATATAAAACAGGCAATATTTCAAAGTCAATGTATAACATTTAATCAATTCTGTTGATACCTAACTCATTGTTTTCAGAGCTAAACAATTCATAGGGTATTTCGTTCGTGTCATAAGACAAAATCACACATAATAATGGCGAGCAACACTAAGCTCGCTATTACTTTGACAGCAAAAGCAAGCCAGAACTGGCCAAGATTGCATGGAAAGTGATCATTCGTGAGGCAAACATTGCCCCCAGATTTCCTGTGGTTTTTAAATTGTAACCTGTAATTAGAAAGCAAAAACAGTGAGGCACCTTGTACAAGCTATCTGGCATTTGAGTGAACAGGACAAACGAAGCAGTTTGAAGAATCCTTACTGAAACATGCATGGGGCAACTTTTGACTGCTCTTTCAGGTGTTGAAAATCTTCTGTAAAGATGGGGTCTTCAGCTGAAGTGGCAGTTATATTCATGTTTAATATGAGGTAATATTTTAACAAAGCAGTTGAAGCTTGCGTTGAAATAATTGCTTAGAAAAAATTAAGAGACCTAATGTATTTTGGTGGATTGTGTCAACCCAATGGCCTTTCCCAACAGCCATTGTTAGACACAGGATTGCTCAGGATTTTAAGCACTACTAAAAGATATATCACATTTTATTTATCAATTGCTGGAAAATTCAGGAGAACATTTGAAATCATTGAGAGATTTTGTAGGATACTTTGTCAAGATTTAATAATCTTCAACATTTATTCTGGAAATTATCTGCAGACTTCACCCGAACAAAGTGCTACTGCACCTCACTGAATGCCTTATGATAGTCGTCAGGTGGAGGGATATCATGGGTCTCTTGCTAAACATTTCCCTTATTCTGCAGTAGGAATAGGTGGAGGACATGAAAATCAGGCAAAACAGTAAAATAGCACTAGTTGTTAGAGAAGAGGCGAACTCCAACCATCAACTGCAGGTACAGAACATCACTCTTCTGCCGGACCTCCTGCTCCAGTGGCTGAAGTATTGAATTGAAAACATTTTCTTCCTTGGTCCTTACTATTTAGAAACATGCCTCTTTGTGCCAGCCAGCACACCCTACATCTTAAACAAAAGTGGTGTGTGGAGTCCATATCAGAACCTAAGTGTTAAACATACAGACGTCCTTTAAATGCCGCCAGACAAGTTCAATTTCTAGTATTCAGCAATTAGCACCAAAAGTGTGACCTAAAACTAGACTTCAAACGGTTTTGTTTTATTAGCACAGTAACTGTTTTCATCTGGCTGCATTTATGGGCAATGCTACTTCTGGGTACAATGTTGCAGTTGTTTAAATAAAACTCTGGGTATAAGTTAACGCATCAGCATCTCCCACTGTCAATCAATCAGTCATGAAATATTTGAAGGCAAATTCTGAAAGCAACACTTGAACATTGTTGGGAATGAATGATGGCCAGCCATTTTCAGTAAAGCGTAACATAGTTGTGTCACAAATTACACAGTGTCAAAAAGGTCACTAGTGAATTTAAAGAGGAATAAAACATTTTCATCCGTACGCATTGCAGGAGACATCAGTGTTCCAATGTATCGATGTTGTAGATTGACTGGTAGGAGGGAAAACATGAATCAGGTAAGTTCTGACATCATGCAACTCCAAATTCTGTCAGCTGACAGTGCAATTGGGCTTGCATTCCTGTCACAGCACAACTGAGCATGTGCAGAGAGATCACAGCAGCCATATTTGCATTGGCAATAGTCAACTCCATTCTCAATCCTTCCCCCAGAATGTGACCTGCAAGGTCTAAACTAGGAAGGGTACACTGTAATATTTAATTCAAAGCAAAATGATGTACAAGGAAGATATAGAAAGCAAAAGAAAGATGACAACATGAAATGAAAGAGACAGAAAGAAATAAAGATTATTTTTAAAAATTTTTAACAGTAATTAAAATCAGAACCAATGAGACTCCACAGCTATATGAGCAAATTTTCAATGACAGACTGTTTGGGAATAATTAAGACATAAAACACTGTTAAAAATGGATATTCCTCAACATTTTCATTGAGAGAGGTTTCCATTGCAGGAGCAAGCATGTGTTGCTGCAGATATACAGGGCCTTGGTGAGGCCACATCTAGAATATTGTATGCAGTTTTGGTCTCCTTTTCTAAGGAAGGATACTCTTGCTCTCGATGGAGTGCAGCGAAGGTTTACCAGGCTGATTCTGGGGATGGCGGGACTGATGTATGAGGAAAGATTGACTAGGTTGGGATTGTTTTTGCTGGATTTCAGACAAATGAGGGAGGTATCTCATAGAGACTTAAAAAATTCTAACAGGACTAGACAGGGTAGATACAGGGAGGATGTTCCAGATGTTGGCTGTGTCCAGAACCAGAGGTCACAGTCTGAGGATTTGGGGTAGACCATTTAGTATGGAGGTGAGGAGACATTTCTTCATCCAAAGAGTGGTGAGCTTGTAGAATTCATATCACAGGAAGTAGTTGATGCCAAAACATTGAATGTATTCAAAAGGTTGCTAAATATAGCACTTGGGGTGAATGGGATCGAAAGGTTATGGGGATAAACCAGGATTAGGCTATTGAGTTGGACAATCAGCCATGATCGTGATGAATGGTGAGCTGGCTTGAAGAGCCGAATGGCCTCCTCCTGCTCCTATCTTCTATGTTTCTATGTTTTTTGTGCATGTTTATTAGGAAAGTAGCCCAACTTTACAGCCTTCATTGATCTGATTGCCAAATTTCAAGGACTGTACCAATTTAGTGAAATTTCTGGAAGATGTCAGCAATTTAAACAGTAATTTGCTGGTTTAGGTATTTTACTGCCAGTACGCAGAAATTAGAAGTTGCTGTCCAATTTACTCCTTAGTAGCAGTGAGTAAGGAAAGCAACATTTGGGCTATTATATTCATCACTCTTCTATTACATTCATCAGAAAATATAACCTTTTAGCAGTTTTTGGGATTAACAAGATCTTGCATTTCGATCTGATGATCTACTTCACTGCACTTCAGATGAAAGAAATACCTATCACGATAAATCATTAAGTTCATGATGAACTGACAAGTGATAACTTTGCAAATAGACTTATTTTTCAATTGGAAATGCATGGCTGAATTAGTTAATCTATACTTGTGACACTGTTACAAATTGTTAATGAATGGACATTTGACCACTGGACAGTACCATAAGAATGAACAAAAAATCTCAGATTGTGCATTAGTTACCCTAATGCACTTTGTACGGTATGATCTGCCTGTACAATACACAAAACAAAACATTTCACTGTACCTAGGTACATGTGACAACAATAAATCAAGTCAGAGTTGGTCAGTAAGCTGTTTATAATGCACAACTAAGTTATATTTGTTGTTGTCTCACATGGTCCAGTATTAATTCCTTCCTAATGACAGAAAGGTAAAAAATAGGAACAGGAGTTTGGCCGTTAAGCCTGTTCCATCATTCAATACAACTGTGGTTGATCATCCAACTTAGTACCCTGTTCCCACCTTCACCCAAATCCTTTGATTTTGTAAAGCCTGAGAACTATATATTCACCTTCTTGAAGACATTTCATGTTTTTGCCTCAAATGCTCTCTGTGGCAGAGAATTCCACAGGCCCACTAATCCCTCAGTGAAGAAATTTCTCCTCATCTCAGTCCTAAATGGCCTAACCCGCATCCTTAGACTGCAACCCCTGGTTTTAAACACCCCAGTCATTGGGAACATTCTTTCTGCATTTACCCTGTCAAGTCCTGTTAGGATTTTATAGTTTTCTATGAGATTCCCCTCATTCTTCTAAATACCAGGGAATAAAGATAATATATATATAACTTTAGAAATAACTAGGTAAGTAAATTATTAGATAGAAGTTGTAAAACCAATTGTAGAAATTCACCTGGTGCTATACATACCTCTAAGATCTCCAAAGATATCCTCAGTTATGGGAAGAAAACTACTGTACCTTAAACATGAGCTTTGCAGCATCAAGGAAATGATGGGCCTTACGGTAAAGTTCAATTGCTTCCAAAGTTTTATTCTTCTCCAACAAATGAGTTGCATACTTAGCCAGAAGTGATCCAATTTCTTTCATATTGTGATTCTTAGCCAATTCAACAGCTTTATTCCACTGAAAATATTTTGACAAAATAGTTAAAATTAGTGTGATTGGATTAATTTTGGTAGGAAGAATAGGAAGAAGTAATAATATTTAAATGGTCCATTTTTAAAAGAGGTACATGAACAATGCTAACTAGTCTATGTCCACGAGTCTTTAAATGTGAGGAGGTAAGTTTTTAAAAAAGCTGTTAAAAGTTTGTTCGGAATTCTTAAGCTTGTAAATGTATGTATAGCAAATAAAAAAAAGACAAAATGCTAAGCTTTAAAGTACTCTGGTGAGACCACAGCTGGAGTAATGTGGTCAATTCAGGTGCCACACTTTAGGAAGACGTCTAAGCTTTAGAAAGAAAGTGCAGAAGAGATTTAATAAAATTGTACCAGGGATGAAAGAATTTGGTTATATAGAGAGACTAGAGAAAACTTTCTTGCTCCTCTCATGCTGCCTGGGCTGCTGTGTTCCTCCAGCTCCACACTTTGTAATCTCTAGAGAAAATGAAGTTGCTTTCCCTAGGGCAGTTAAGAGGAGCTCTGAGATAGGTGTTTAAAATCTTAAAGGGTTTACCGAAAAATTAAAGAGAAACAGCTTCCAGTGGCAGAGGGGCAGGCAATCAGATAAATGACAAATGAACCTGAAGCAACATGAGGAAATATTTGTAAATGCATTGAGTTGTTACAATAGGGAATGCACTGCCCACTGTGTGGTGAAGGCAGATTCAAATGTAACATATAAAAGAGAATTTCATAAATACTTGAAAAGGAACAAAATAACTTGCCAGCTGTCCTGCACTTCTTCCAAAGAGCCAGTACAGGCATAATAGGCTGAATGGCCTCTTTTTGCTAAATAATTCTACAATTCATGGTGCTTGACCAGGAAAAAAAAAATCTATATTTTGATGATGGTCGTGTTTTACAGTTCATGCAGGAAGTTCAATATGCTGTAACAACATACAATTTTCCATGTATTTTGTCATCTGAAGCTATGGATGGTGATGGTATAGACTCCAAATTTCTTACCATTGCATAACTGGCCAGGAATCTCCCCTACACTTACTGCCTGCCATTGGTATGTACTAGAAGAATTTGCAGGTTTGTAGTCAACCTATTTGTTTATGTTTCAAATGCACCTTGTTTGTTACCATGTAAGACTCGATTCCATAACATCTAACTCTGTGTCCTCATTCTATTATTTAGGAATTCATAAATAAAATGAAGAAATGCATTAGAAAATTATTGTGTAAAATTATACATTTCTCTTTTATTATCCCACCTGATTCAGATGTATACAGGTTTCAACTGCAGATTTAGCTTGGTTACATTTGAGGAATGCAGCTACAGCTTGCTCACACATACCCACAGTAACAAACATGTGGGCTATTTCCTGTAAAAAAAATCAAAATATTCAAAATTCTGTTATCAAAAAGTCTTAACTGTACAAAAGAACTACTATAGGTCTAAGTGACTGAAGAAAATTCTTTCTGACATCCAAATGCTGGAGGAGTTCTGAGTGGAAAGGGTAGACAAAGACAAATCTTTCACTGTGAAAGCCTCATTTTGTTCTTCTTGCCAGTAAAGAAAATTCCAGAGATTTTGTTTTTTTCTTAGAATAAGTAAAATATATTTTTAAAAGCCCAGTTTAAAATAGTTCTCAACTTAATCCCACTTGAAATTATTAATGGGATGATTCTGAAACAGTGTGCTGACTTAAAAATGAATTGTTTAACTGACCATTTTTTATTTATTTTTTATTTATTCGCAGGATGTGTGCATCACTGGACAGTCCATTACTTATTTGCCATTCCTAACTGTTCTCAAGAAGATGGTGGGTGGTGAGATGCCTTGTCTAGCCATTGCAGTCCAAACGTATTGATTCCCTAACAGCATTATAGTGTATGAGTTCCAGGAAATTTTTCCCCCAGTAATAGAGAGGGAGCAGCAATATAGCTCTTCAAAGTCATGATGAAGGGTGGTGGTGTTCCCTTGTTTTTGCTGCCCTTGTCCTTCTAGATCGTACAGGTCGTGGTTTTAGAAGGAGCTTTGATGAATTTCTGCAGTGTATCTTGCTGATGGTGCACACTGGTGCCACTGTGCATTGGTTGTGGAGGAAGTGAATGCTGAAGGAGTTAGACTGGGAACCAATCAAACAGGCTGCATTTTCCTGGATGGTGTTGAGTTCTTCAGTGTCGTTAGAGCTCCAAGCATCAGGCAAATGGACAGTGTTCCATCACCCTCCTGACTTGCCTTTGTAGATGGCGAACAGAAGATGTGTTGCTCACTGCAAAAATCCCAGTCTCCAACCTGCATTTGTAGCCACAGTATTCATATGGCTGGTTCATTTCAGATTTTGATAAATGGCAACCCCAGAATATCAATCCCGGGAGATTCAGTGATGATAATGTCGTTGAATATCAACAAACAATGTTCGGATTCTGTCTTGTGGAGCTGGTTATTGTGCAGCATACTTGATACTTGCCATTTAGGAGTCATAGATGGTGCTGAACACTCAGCAGCCACTAGCAAACTTCCCCACTTATGGCCTTATTAAAGCGGCTGAAGACAGGTAGGTGTGGACATGAGGAACTCCTGTAATGGGTCTTGTGGCTTTGGTGATTGACCTCAATAACTACATCCATCTCCCTTTATGCTAGGAATAACACCTATCACTTCGCTGATGACTGACATTAACTGAGAGAGTGGTAACTAGCCAAGGTGGATTTTTCCGAACAGAATATATCTGGACAATTTTCCATATTGCCAGTTAGACATCGGTGTGATAAATGCTGCTTCAGATGGCCCACACACCCACAGGGATGCTCAGTCTTGAGTTGCTAGATGTACTTGAAGTCTATCTCATTCAGCAAACTGATAGTACCAAGTAACATTATAGAGGGCACCCACAATGTTTTGAAAGCACAATGGTCACGCCTACTAATACCATCATGGACAGATGCATACGTCACAGATAGATTGATAAGGATAAGGTCAAATGTATTATTCCATCTTATGACTTCCTTACAATAAAACATAAGAGAAGTAGTAGGTCATTTGGCCATTGGGTCTGTTCCACTATTAAATGAGATCATGGCTTATCTGAATCATCAACATCACTTTACTGCCTTTTCCCCATAACTCTTGATGACCTTATCAATTCAAATTCTGTCAGTCTCAGCACTGAATATTCTTAACAACCCATCCTTTAATTCACTCTGTGGTTAACAATTCCACAGATTCACCACCCCTTGACAAAAGGCTTTCTTTCTCATCTTGGTCTTAAATGGTTTAATCTCTACTCTGAGATTATGCCCTCTGGTTCAAGACTCTCCAACAAATGAAAACAACCCCTCCACATCTAACATGCAAAGCTCCCCCCAACCCAGAAGAATCTTTTATATTTTCAATAATGCCACCTCTCATTCTACTAAACTCCAATGAGTACAGGCTCAACCTACTCAACCTCTCCTCATATGGAAGTCCCTTACTGCGCAGAATCAATAAAGTGAACCTTCTCTGAACTGCCTCCAATATTTTTCTCTCAAATAAGGAGTCCAAAACTGCATGCAGCATTCCAACTGCGGTCTGATTAGTGCATTCGATAGTTTTAGCAAAACCTCCCTAACTTTTAGACTCCATTCCCTTAGAAATAAAGGTCACCATCCTATTTGTCTTCCTTATTATCCACTGAATGTTTATGCTAGCTTTTACTGATGCATTCACAAGGATGCCTAAATCCACCTGTGCTGCAGCTTCCTGTGTTCTTTTCCCGTTTCAGTAACAGTTAGCTTCTTTATTCTTCCTGCCAAAGTCCATTTTCCCACTTTATATTCCATCTGCCAAGTTTTTGATCACTCACCTGTCTATATAACCAGTCTGTATCCCTCTGTCGACTCTGTGTCATCCTCACCTCTTGCCTTTCCACCCATTTTAGTGTCATCTACAAACTTGATGATTGTACATTCATTTTATCCAAGTCGTTAATCCCAGCACTGATGCCTGTGACATTCCACTAGTTACAGATTGCCATATTGAAAATTACCCTTATTCCAACTCTCTCATCTTCTATTAGTGAATCCATTCTCTATCCAGGCTAATATATCACCCCCATCACCATAGACTCTTATCTTACTGAGCAGCTTTGTATTCCTTAATGAGTGCCTTTTGATGAACTGATTCGTCAACTGGGAGGATGCAGAACAGGGTAATCAGCAGCAGGTTTCCTTGTTTATGTATAAATTGATCTCAAGGAGTCCAGGCCAACCTTGAAGTCTCTCAGGGTAACTGCCACCTGACTGTATACCATTGTGCCAACAGCCCAGGCGGGTCTGTCCTGCATACCCATGAGACTGACATACTCTGGTGATGGTGTCAAGAATATTATCTATAAGGTATGATTCCAGGAAAATGCCATCAGGCTATTGCTTGACAGGTTTGTACAGCAGCTCTCCCAAATGCAGCAGAGACCCTTAGATGTCAGTAAGGACCAAACTGTATAGTCAACAGGGCTGTGTATGTCATTATCATTTCTGGTGCCTCGGTCAATGCGAGATAGCCCTTCCGGTTTCACTCGTTCTATAAGAATTTGTAGCAGCTGAGAGTCAACCACGCTACTGTAGAACTAGTTTTACGGTGATCATAAGGCTTGTTTTGAATTTCAGTTTATTAACTGAATTCAAATTTCACCATCTACTCTGTTGGATTTCGACCCTTTTCACCACAGCATTAGCCCAGGTCTGTGGACTACTAATCCAGTGACAATACCACCATCTCCCTAAAAAAAAATTAGTCGTTTGCTAAATCACTGATACACCACTAACAAGTCTAGTGAATAGAAGTTAGCAATATCAGTTCATTATCTAACAATGGGAGCAACGTGGTCTCCTCTACATTAGGGACAGCAAACGCAGACAGGGTGACTGCTGCGCAGAAACTCTTCATTCTGTCCGTAAAAATCTGACAGTATGTTCCCATGCCAACATTTCTCTCTCAGGCCTGCTACAGTGCTTCTACAAGGCTCAGTGCAAGCTGGAGGGACACTATTTTGTTTTCTGATTAGGGACCTTGCAGCCTTCAGGACAGCCTGAACAGCACCTTCCATTTTATTTACTCACTCCCACACCCCACGACCCGTCATGAAATGTGTTGCTTTCAGCACAGCTGACTCATTTTCACCCAATCATAATCTGCACTATCACCTATCTAGCTTTTCTTCTTCCCTCGCTTACCATCAACAATTCTTTATTCCTCACTCTCCCTCTTTGGGCTCTGTCTCCACCCACCAGCTCACTCCTTCCCCACACCCGACAACTCTTTGTTATGAAGATAATATCACTTTACCCTAGATGCTATCAGTTCTAAAGGATCACTAGACGCGAAATGTTAACTCTGCTTTCTCTCCACAGACCTGCCAGACCTGCTGAGTTTCTCCAGCAATTTCTATTTTTGTTTCAGATTTCCAGCATTTACACAGTTCTTTGTTTTATTATCATGGACTTAATAGGCCTGGCAGCAGTCTGGGCTAGCTGCCTAACTGGCCAACAGCAAGGGTGCAGGCAAAGTGAGAAAAACATGTATGACGTTATCCTGAGACAGGACAGCAGGTTTGTGCTCCATGAAACCAATATCATTTCTCTGGGGACGCATGACGGTAATAGTAGTAAACTGCTGGAGGACAGATTGTTGTGACTTCCACAAGCATCTATGAACAACGGCACTGGTCCAGGTTCAATATATATCAGTCAGGTTAACAAAGTTAACAGCATCTCTAGTTCTACAGTGCATAGAGAGTGAATGTTAGCTAACTCAACCTGAAGGATTGACTTAATAAACAAATGACAATTATCAATTAATCAAACCTATGTATTCATCAACAAGTTTGATTAATTTTGATTAACCTTCATTAGTTATCACACGTTGACATGTCACCCAAATTCAGACTCTCAAAATTCCCTTTGGGTCAATCATGAAATAAAGTTTCAAATTAAAAGTTGTTTGATTCAAATACATAGTCAAAGATTAATTAATCATTTAAACTAATTGATTGTTTCAACTGATGGGAATAAATTTATCTGGTACTCTAGTTACCAAGGTTAAGTTTTATTTCTTTCACTTATCCTTTCCAATTTATTATTTCAATTTAAACAGAACTCACAATGAATATTTACTTTATCCTACTTGTAAAGGGAGATGAACCTCAACATTTCACTCCAATAAGAATACATTATTCCCAATACTTACAGGAAGCAGTTTGTTATTTTCTGGTAGCGCATTTGCCAGTTTTTCCAAACCTTCATAATCCTCAAGCATGTAATAACACTCTGCCAGCCGCTCCTGATTCCGGCCTTGAACGTAGTATTGAACAGCATTCATCCTGCAAGTGGAAACGAGATTTGAAACCACATCTATTTGGATTGATTTCTTTTAATCAAAATTTTTCACACAATATCTAATTAGCAAATATCCAAAACAATCAACATGATCATATAAAATCCAAATACACTTTCTCATCTGATAATTGACTAGATCATCATAATCAAAAAGCTGGATACAAATTCTGAAGCAAGGATTCAAAATCAGAGTCATTAATGTGAATTAGCAATTCTGTGCATCCAGCTTAGTTTGATTTATCAGCTTAAGGAATCAGCAATACAATGTTCTTTCTCCTTAGCTAATTGTATGACATAAAATTTCAGGCTTCACTATTTCACCCTACTCTTACCACTTTGCAGCCATTTTTTTAAAGGCTGAATAGGCTGGGACTTTTCTCACTGGAGCATAGGAGGTTGGGAGGCAACTTTATAGAAGTTTATAAAATAACGAGGGGTATAGATAGAATTAATGGTAGTTGTTTTCTCCCTAGAACGAGGAATTTCAAGACCAGGGAGCACATTTTTACGGTGAGAGGAGAGAGATTTATAAAAAAAACACGAGGGGCTAATTTTTTTACACAAAGGGTGGTTCATGTGTGGAATGAGCTTCCTGAGGAAGTGGTGGATGTGGTACAATTATGTTTAAAAGACATTTGGATAAGTACATGAGTACAAAAGGTTTGGAGGGATATGGGCCATGAGCAGACAGATGGGACTAATTTAGTTTGGCATTATGTTCGGCATGGACTGGTTGGATTGAACGATCTGTATGACTCTATGATCCTTTGGGATGAATCTTACCATTTTTTAGATAAGTATCATTTTCGAGTTTCATGAAGAGTTTCTCTTTCTGAAGTCAAGCAAGGCACCTCACGCTATCATTCTAAACTCGACTAATTTACTACCTACCGCATTGGGAGGCTCTCTCATTCTCATCTGATGCTAGCTCAATTCTACCACTTGCCATTAGCCAGAAGTACTTGTTACTGGCCAGATATCCTAGGATAGACTGGCATCCATGATGCCGGTGGCATATTTAGAATGTCACTGTGTGCCAGTCAAGTACTACCAGTCTGAAACAGTCCTATACGGTTCAATTTAATCACTCCAGGCACAGCAGATAAAGGGAAATTGTAACCCGCTTTGTAGACATGGACCTGGAACAAAGGAGGGTTACTCCAGGACCACAAGAGGAGGCTACAGCACCAGAGCTGCCAGCCTGGACTAAGGTCACTCCCTGAGTCAGTGCAGAAGTGGCAGTCCAGAATCTCAATACTGCTTTCTATTTTGCATGTAAAGTCTTGCCTTACTTGCTGTTTACATACCCCAAACTACTAAGCCTGCATGCCCTCAACCCTGACTACCCACTCACTTGGGACAACTGACTGCTTTTCCCACACCAGCACTAACGGCTGTGCCACCCAGATTCATCTCACTCATTCCATGCCTTCACTCCAACTTCTCTTGATCAAGGAGAAAATGCCTATTACAGCTCTGAAAGGGATGGCTGATGGGCTGTTCGACATTCAGTTCCTCATCGTATACAAGGAGAGAATCTTGGCCTTCGCGGGAGAACGCCAGGATTGCTTCTGTGAAGGTGCTGAAACTTCCATGTCCCTTGCTAAGCTACTTCCTCATTACCCACAATGTGTATTTCATCTTAATTTGCCACAACTTCTTGCTCTTTGGTTGCAACATCTGTTTTGTGTCATGCAGATACAAGCTGCAAGTCAACGGCGGCCACAGTCAAGAGATCCAAATAGCAAGAGGTTAGCTGCCCTACCTCTGAGGATGTAATAGAAGAGGGGAATGAAGTCCTTCTGAGGGCATCATTGCAAACAGTAATTCATGTCTGAAGGTTCTCATGTCACCCGATAATAAGGAAATGGAAAGGGGAGGCTAAATGGGCCAATGGTCTTCCGTTTCCAAAACATCTGTGGCCCTGAAATTTCACTGGTATTCGCATCTCCACTGGCAGAATTGCAGATTTTAAATGGCTAATTTTACTGTTTCTCTGAGGTATTAATCAACTTTCATCCAATTTATCACAAGAAACTGACAGAATGTTTGTGGGACTTCAGAGCCTCCCATTGTCTATTTATGTCATCTCGCATAACAATGCTGTTACTTACCACTTTTGACGATCTGCAAAATAATCTCCAATGGCATTATAGGCTTGCTCAAGTAGAGCATCATCAGCATCGCCAGAACCAGTTTTTAACAACTGCAAAACTCGAAACCAATCTCCCAACTTGATCCTTAGATCAATAGCCAGATCTCTATAAGCAGAACAAAATAAAAATAAAATTCTGACTACATGGAACAAGTTAAAGCCATCATAAAACCAAAATACTCCATTTGCATCATCCACAGATTTTAGAATTTACTCCCCAATGAGGTCTATCTCATCCGAGTACATCCTGTATGAATACTGCCCGCTACTGCCTAAAACCAATGGATAATTGACATATTTCAAACACTTTTATAATCTTGTCATGAATCTCTAACCTGGTGACTTTCTACCAATGGTCAACCATCCTTCCAGCAACCCAAACATGACATAACTCCTATGAACATCCTAGTTTAGCAGGAATTCTACTCCAAGCCAAATATTTAAGGATTAACATTGAAAAGAAGTTTGTCATTTCAGCCTGAATTGCTTTTCTTGAGCGATTACACCTGCATTTGGTGGATTTGTAAAGAAAAGGGTGTTAACCTAAAAAGGAACACTTTCAAAGCAGGTGTGCTGGTAGAGCAAATGGAAAACTCTATGGGGAGCATTATGAGAAGCTCCCAGGCCATGTTTAAGTATGCCAAAGTAGCCTCTAACCTGGAGTGCCATCATGGCTGGCAGCAGAAGTAAACATCAGATTGAAGTCTGAGGAAAGTGGGGCCCAAGACAACCCCCAACCCAATCAAACAAGTACAAGCAGAGTCTTTGAATCCCACTGCCAGTTCTGGACAGGATAAACAATGCTGGGCTTGGGAGACCAAAGGACTCTTCATGGAGTCTAATCGATATTTCTAAACTTACTTTGGCTTCTTTTGTTCACTCCATGACTACACATGTTAAAATGTCATTACTGACTGTATTATCATCAAGACCTTTGTCAAAACTATAAGTTGGCTTGTTTGCAGGGATCAATGCTCTTCTGGTGCCTGAATTAAGATAAATATAACTAGTGGTATGCAATAGGTAGGAACATGCTGGATCCTTGTATGACCTCGACATTTTACTACTTGCCTACATCCCTACATCATTCCTATCAGGTAAGGGCATTAAAATCAACCCAAAATTGCTTCCAACTTCTGTTACAGTTAATGATTTCAACTCGTCGTTCTCTACTCAATATCAAGTCAAATAAGTCTCTGAGCTAAGAACTCCAAATTCTAGAATCAGGAAAGGTGAAACACTACTAAAAAGCACCAAATGATTCCTTAAGAAGCAAAACAGAAAATTTTCTATTATTTTTGCAATAAAGGACCATCCCAGGTACCTACATCACACCATGAATGTGACTAATCTATACACAACAATGTCGAGTTACTTTAGTTTCTCATCAGCTGGATTGTATGGAGTTTTCCTGGAACTAATTAGTAAAACAAGAACGATAGTGCCAAAGAGCCATTCTAATATGGCATAAACAGGGTCCAAACATTCAGCAGAATCACTGACTAACTTGAACAGAATCCACCGAGTAGCCAATCTGATCTTGCAGCAACAGCTCCAGTTACTCAAGACAGTCAGTATGTGAAGTGAGTTGAAAAAGTCCAAAAAAAAATCTAAACCCTACCAAACTGGAATCTTTCAACAAGATAGAGTGATCAACATTAAATCATTCCAGACAACAAGGTGCAGAGCTGGATGAACACAGCAGGCCAAGCAGCATCATAGGAGCAGGAAGGGTGACGTTTCGGGCCTAGACCCTTCATCAC